ATATATATATATATATAATAGATTGAAAAAAAAATATAAGAGAATCAAATTAAAATTGAGAAAGTACAAAAATTACAAATAAGCTCTCGACTAAAAGCAAGCATGTCCACGACAATTCTCTGCTTTTAACCGCTTCAATATAGTAATAATTTACTTAAATATTTTTGTATATATTTATCACTAATAAAATATCAAAACTAAAAGCATCTCTGTAACAATTAATAAAACTTTAAATGTTCATAAAATAATATTACAATATCAAACAAAAAATTAGTAACGACCTAAGAGATTGCCACAAAAGGTCAACTTTAAGTGGCGACACAATTGCTGCAAATGATCTTTTGTGGCGACCTTTTCTTCGTCGCCACTATCAAAAAATAAGATGTATATTACTAAAAAAAAGCTCCCTATATTAGTGACGACTTAAAAATAGACGCCACTAATTATTAGTTTTTGGCGACTAATGAGTTTGCCACTAAAACTATCATCTTTTGGAGCAATTCTTTTGGGTTGCCACTAAAAACACTGATTAAGCAACAGCTAAAAGAGTCTCCACAAAAGGTTGTCACTATAAATCATATTTCTTGTAGTGACTGGACCACAATTCTGCGGTTTTCTACAGTGATCCCAAGTTAACTTCCGAACTCTCTCAATACTTGGGTGGACAAGTATTTTCTAGAAAAGTTATCTCTTTTCAAGGGATAGAAGAATCCCTATTTATAGAGATTTCTCCCTAGTCCAAGGAGAAGGAATACCATGTCTTTCCTTACAATAGAAAAAGACATGTACATCTCCCTTTCCTTAGAATAGAAAAAGTCATGTCCTTCTCCCTTTCCTTAGAATAGAAAAAGTGATATACTTCTCCCTTGCCTTAGAATAGAGAAAGACACATACTTCTCCCTTTCCTTAGAATAGAGAAAATAAAATACTTCTCCCTTTTCCCTTTAGAATAGACTATGAGTTCTAGTTAAATATGGGCACGGTAGGGACCACTGAATTAATTAGCGAGACTTCGTATTATGAAAATAATTCCAAATAATTAATTTGAATTATTCTTACCATAATAAGTCACAAATCATTCCACTAGAAATTTGTAATTGCACTCCTCTATTTATATTTTGAAATTCCCCATTAAACACATATGTAATTCCCCATGTTAAGATTACATATACTAGTCAATAAATTAAATTACTGACGAACTTAATTCAATGATCAATTTCTTTTAGAGCACTGCTTAACTTATTTCATGTCCCGGATTCATAAATCCACTTGCAAGATTTGACATGATGAAAATTTTTAAGCTTCTCAAGAAGGTATATCATCAATCTCTATATCGAGACATGGATTCCGTCAACTAACTTATTATTTCACCAATATATGTTATCAACATCCAATCTACCAGGATTATTGACCCATCTTAGAATCTCACCTTTTAATAAATCAAAATGATAATTAACATATACAGATCATAATAGTTATATCAGGATTAAGAATATAAGTACATTTAATAGTTTAGAGAATATGCTTATGTCAGTCAGTCTAAAGCAACTATCTCTATTCTGTCCAGTTCAATACATACAAAATGCACTAGCACAAGAAGTTGGAACTATACCATTCCCTTAATCAAGATAAACTACATATAATCTTGTGCTACAATCGTACCGATGGCATGTCCAATTCTCATCTTAGATTGTGAACAAATTTTTTTTATACTTATAAGAACTGATGATTTAATCCTCTGTGTATAAGCTTCAACTCTATACACTAAATCATCTACTATATAAGTAAAACAACACCATAAACGAATATATGATCTATTAAAATGAATAAATAATTATTCTATAATAAATACTATATCTAAACACGTGGTTAATAATATACCTCCCAACAAATTTCTCCGTCATTTTATCTCATCTTTTTTCAACCAAAAAAGGAATAAAATAGTCCTAAGTCCTCTCTAAAGATTACCCTATCATCCAAGGAAATATCTACAAGACTTCAACGTGGTTTCACCCTCGGAATGTTCATAGAGATTGTATTACTTCTTTCCTTCTCGTTGGTTGTGATTTGAAGGATTTTTCATGTTGAAAGAGTCTCGTTTTTAGGTGGTATTGTTGCTGTTTGGAGGTAATAATTCTCACCCTTCATTTTATTGAGTGATTCAAATTTATAACTACGCTATATAAGCAAGAACAAGAATAGAAGGCTGGAAAAATTTTATTTGGATAGTTACGTGATGTTGGGCTATTTTTGAAGTATTTTCTGATATTGTTGTTGCTGAAATTTCGGGAAATGATTTGTTTGTGTGTGGTTGTTGTTGATATGAGTGTGGAAGAGAAGAAGAACTACATATGGGTAATTAATTGTAAGATAAATAAGTGTAACGGTTGTTCTATTATTTCATTGAAATTTTCGAATGGTTTCTTCTTGGTTCAGCGTCTTGTGTTTAAGTAGACTATTTGTTATTGACAAGACATGTTAAAATACTATAAGCTCCATAAAGTTTAAGTTAAGTTTCTTCCCTTTTTACCTCTTATTGCTTATGAAGAGAAAGACATGATTCCAATTGTAACTATTGGACGAATTCACAGGATGGTGATCGGAAGCGGTGAGTTCGAGGTATTATGGTGATATTGAACAATTATAGGACTGTATTACATATATATTTTCTGGCATTAATGGTTTAAAGACTCCTGGTTGGGATTTGATTGAGGTATTATTGGGATTGGAAAAGAGGGGTGTGGCGATACGCCGAGTATTTATTATTGTGCAGGCATACTCTACGTGGTTGTTGTTAACTATTGCGTAGGCCTCCACTTGTTAATAGCTTCTGCAAAAATGTATGTTATGTCATTAAATTGGGGTTGTAATTTGGAGAAGAAAAGGTAATGAAACAAATTTTAAAAGGGTCTTGCGAGCTAATCACTCTGCTAGTAAGCTATAAATTACTACTTTGAACCTGGCGTGTTAATATTCTACCTGTAATGGTTGTGTGACATGATTTTCTGTAGATTTTATACTGTAAGGAAGGGGTACATTCCATATTGATACAAGAAGACCAAGAATTGAGGTATGTTAAAGCTAAGCATTGTACTTCCTTTGAGCACGAATTTTGGAATCCTAAATCGTCAAATATTGCTTTACTACTCTATTGCTAGAAAGACATTTTGTGAAAGGCATTGAGATTGCACCTGACATATTTTTGTGACTCCATTATGTTGCTATTCCACTCGTTCGCTTAGATAGGGTATTCGGTGTCTTTATGTCATTTGGTTGATTCTCTTGACTATAAGTCCATGTGTACAAATTTTTATCCTTTATTAGGTGTAGAAAC